GGTGCGTCATCTTCCGCACTAAACCTGTCGAGAAGGGCTTCCCGAAGCGCTTGGGCCTTTTCGTCAGTATCCTCGATCGTCTGGTTGTCCACAACCAATGGGGGTGCTCTGGTCAGTGGGCTCGCCTTCCGCCAACCCATGATCTGGTACAGGTCCCGGTCTGAAGCGACTCCATCGATCTTTCCGGCCCAGTATGCTCGCTTAGCCTTCCTCACCGTGCTCAGGAACGCCTTTCGTTTCTCCATTAGATAAAGGTGCGCATCTTGCTCCGTCTCCCAGGCTTGTTGGTTGCGGGCAGCACGGTATGCTCTGTGGGCCTCTGCGCATTCCTCCGTCCACCAAGCCGCGCCTTTACCATGTTTTCCTCTCTTCTTGCCGACCGCCTCAATGGCTCGGGAGAAGAGCTCGACGATGTGACTTGCCTGCCCGTCCAGGTCTTCCGGAGTAGGTTGATCCCCCAGATTGGGCATCGCAGCTAGCCCCCCTTCGATCAGGTCTCTCAGCCGAGGCAGCGCCGAGTCGGGCACTGACAGTGGCCGTGGCTGCGGGTGGCCCTCTCCCTGTGACACTGGGCGTTTGAATAGTGGTATGACGGCCACGATGGCCTCGTGGTCAGCTCCCGGGTGTAGCTGTGGGCTGACCTGCGCGTGCGCAAAAGGGATATTAGAGAAAGCCAGGTCCAGGACATGTCCGCAATCCTGGGTTGCCACCCCAACTTCGCTGATAAGAGAGAGATTGTGGCCGTCTGCCCAGCCTGCAATGTCATCTCCCCGGTTCCCGTTCCTCGTCCCGGGCTCCCAAGAGTAGTGATGCGCGTTGAAGTCACCCGCGATCAAAGCTCGCTCCGGGGGTTTGAGTTCTAGCAGTATCCCTGTTGTGCGGCTGTGGGGTCGCGGGGTTGTCTGTACACGTTGACGATAGTCGTCGTTTTGTCGACCACCAGCCACAGTACGTCTCTCGTGTGGACAGGCCTCTGCTGCTCCACCGTCATCCCTATCCCTTTGCGTGTGTAGGTCAATACTCTTGGTCTGGTTCCTTCGCTGTCCCAGAAGTCGACCGGGACGAAAGAGTCGAAACCCGGGTGCGTGTTCAGTTGCACGTTTCCGTCCTTCCAGCCCGTCCAGGGTTCCTGGACGAGGACCACATCTATCTGAGCCTCCCAGCAGAGCTGCAGGAAAGCCGTGTGCGCCGGGGAGATCTTTCCGACGTTGCCCTGCGCAACGCGTAGCATCCGTGGGGTCGCCGCTCTCGGCTTACGTCTCCGAGTCGAGTTCGAGGTGGGTGTAGGCATTCGCGACGTTGTAGTTTGGCTTCTGTGCTGCCCGTTGGCTCCTGCTTGGCATGGGTAGCACGGGACGGTCGATGGAGGTGTTGTCGGGGGAGTCTTCGCCTTCGCCTTCGTCCGCCTCGTCTTCATCCATGCTGCTGCTGTCAGTGCTTCCGTCACCGAGGCAAACGATCGAGCTTGCGGAGGGCGTTCTCGTGCGCGCGCGCTTGGCGCCGGGTTGCTGGTTCTGGCTGGTGGAGGTAGGGACGCCTGCCGCCTCCTGGCTACTGTCGGATCGAGTAGCCTTGTACAGAGTGTCCGATGCTTTCTGGCCGGCCTTCCGGATCCGAGCCCGCTCCTTTCGACCGGGAAGGGAGACGACGCCGTTTACGACCGAGGGCCTCGCTGGGCAGTCTGTGTGGCCGGCTTGGAAGGGGCCGCAGCAGTTGGGACACTGGGGCCTGGCCATGCAAGGTCCCGTTTCGTGTGAGTCGGAAGGTCTTCCGCAGTTGCTGCAAGTCGGTCGTCGTCCGCAGAACCGGTTGGCGTGGTAGCCCTGGCAGCCGGGGTCATGTCGGATGAGCGTCCTTCGTTTTTTGATGGGCAGAGATCTGCCGCTTTGGTTGAAGAGCCTGAAGGGCGTGACCTCTGATGTGAATGATATGAGCCAAGATATTTCGTTCGTGACTGGGTTGGGCCCAAGGCGGGACGGTCGAGCAAGGACAGGCTTCTGTCCTGTCTGTGCGAAGACCTCATCTTCAACGAGTGTGGCTGGGTCCAGGACGTCCCCGCCAATGCTGTGTAGTTTTGTTGGGCATCGCGGCACAACGTATGTGTGCCACTTGATAGGCGTCTCGACTTGGTGGGCGCCGAGGCATTCCGCCAGCTTTGCCTTACTTGTAAGTAGTCTTTCCTGTATTTGCTTGTTTCGCGGCTTCAGAGAGTAACCTGTGCTGATATGGTAGACGTGGGGAAGGTCCGCTAGCCCCAGGCCAACGGCCTTACAGACGATCTGTCGTACGGCGAACGGTGCGATCTTCCGAGCGGCCGCTAAGCTTTCTTCCGGGACGCGGGCAAAGATGCGGAGGTCCTCCTTCGGCTGCGCCTGCGGCTGATCCTCGGCGGGGAGTGTGGCCTTCGGGCGGGCAGAGCTCTGGCAGCTCTGGCCGCTCCGGGTCGCCGCAGTGGTGTTGCCCGCCATCGGTGCGACGACAGCCGCCCAACTCCGGGCCGCTATTGGGCTTGTCTCGTGATTGATCAGTCTCTTGAGGGTTTGAATGACATAGGCAGTGGCTTCTTTCGCGATCTGCTTTCTAGAACCGTCAAAGCTGGCGACAACGCTGTCGACGGACCGTGCAATGGTCAGAAAGACGTCTTTCCGTGCCTCGTACTGTCTAGCTTCTTCTGCAAGGGCTGTCAAGACGGACCCTGTGGCAGATCCGCTCGGAGCAGATGCGGTAGAGGCTGCGGGCCCCTCGGCCGAGGTAGGGGCGTCGGTGGTGGCATCAAGCTGGCTTCCCGTTAGGCTGGGCCGGGTCGGCTGTGCCTCGGCGTCGCGGCGTCGCTTAGCTCTTGAGGTGGGGTTCGGCTCCGGAGGTGTCCCGGAGCCTGGTTCGGGGTCGGCTTGGTCGGCCGACATCAGTCCGGTGCCCGACGGCGGCTGTGAGGCCATCGCGGATGCGGGCTCCGGCAAGGGGAGGTGAAGAGTTTTCGGCTGTTAGTAATTTGGTGGTAGGCTCACTCATTCACTAACAGCAGATGCCAAGAAAAATTAGGCGAGAGGGAAGTGCCTTGTCCTTATGGCATTGCCATTGTTCAAGAGATATCTTCAATTGAAGTTGAAGAAGGTTCAGAATTTATGTTTCGCAGCACATATCTATCTGTTTTCTGTTAGCCACCTCAGCTGTCAGGCACCGTGATTCCGATACTCGAGTCTTGTCATCTACTGCTTGGCATGGGAGAATCGCACGTGATTATTGAACATTAGTGTCAATTGATGGCCCCTGTTATATTTATATAGTCAATAAGAATGAGTAACTGCGGGTTGTCCCGTTAACTATGGCTTGAATAGATCGCTCTATTAAGGCTTTATTCCGAAAGAAATCCTCTTGATACAGGTGTAGCATGAGACCAAGAGTGTCATTTCGTAGCTCGGCATGAATCTCCTGAAAGCAAACTAAAGGTTGCTGAACGCCTTACAGAGTATGTCTTTGACATCCTCTTTAGTCTTGTCGCTCTTACTAATCGCAAGTTGGACAACGATTCTCGCTATCCAGGGGCTGAGGTTGTTCCCAGCAATGATGCCCATCTTCTTGTGGTCTTCACTGTCAGTCACCTCCCCAGATAGAACTCGTACCGACTGAACCACCACACAGCCACCCTTTATGGCAACATCAAGCCCCTCTTTCTCTGCCGGTGTTCCTAGTCCAGGCGCAAAACCCATGGATATGATCCCCCTTGCTCCAGCCTTGACATACGCGTTGATGCCCACGCTATCAGCACCCACGTAGCTGCACACTATGTCGACGCGCGGAGAGTTGGCGAGCATTTGGACAGTGAATCCAAGATTTGCGGGAAGCTTTGGCTGCATGAGCTCGTCGAATTCGACTTCGCCCTTGATAATACGACCGATGGACTTGGAATTTGGTGACTTGAAGGCGTCGTGATTCTGGGTGTGAGTTTTCGTGACAAAACGGGGTAGATGTATTTCGTTGTTCAACACCACCAAAACCCCCTTGTATTTATGTTCGCACATACAAGCAGCCACGTGGAACGCGGCGACGAGATTGGCCGGTGCATCTGAGAATGTTCCATTCAATGGGCTCATGGACCCAGTGATGATGACTGGAATATTCAGTTTCAGAACCATAGACAGGGCGAATGCAGTCTCCTCAAGGCTTGCTGTTCCATGGGTGATGATGATAGCCTTGATATTTTCGTTTTCAGACAACATCTCGCACTTTTGACCAACATTGCTCCAAATTTTGGAAGTGATTGCAGTGCTATCAATGGTTTCAAAGTCCTCGGGGTCGATTTCCACACCGAGCTTTCTTGCGACTTCATTGACCCGGGTCTCCTCACAGAGTTTATTGGCTGAGACATATTCACCGTGTCCCATAGAGCCGTAGTCTATATCATCAGGGTTATTGGCCTTAGTTCCGATGGTGCCGCCCGTGGCAAGTAATGCAAATTTCTTCGAGGCGGCGACTTCGGTCATTTTGTAGATTCAAGTGAATGAGATCTGGTGGTGATGAATGAATCAAGAACGGTTCGTTTCGGCAAGACCTTGCTCAAAACTTGGCTAGGAGTAAACCTAGCTAGAACATATATATACCTAACTCGGACCAGATCCAAGCATTTTGGTCTTACTGTTGCCATCTTAATCAGGGCAAACGCATTTGCGGCAAATGCCTGTTTGGAGTGAATGTATCACCATACAGAAAGCGAGAAAACATGCTGTTTCATTTGAAATCCACTCAAATGTAAATGTCGGTTCAGATGTTTGTCATTCCAGGCTATTCAGTAGAATGGAGATGCTTCAATAAGGCGCCAGAAGTACATCACGAAGTCATGTCCTCCTTTTTTCCTGAACAGCCACTGGAGAATTACCGCTTTGAGAGCCAATGCTGGCTCAGAAATCCACAGGCTAGCCGGGTTCTGCATCCTTCAAACCAACACAAAGTCAACCTTGATATCTTTCATCAGCCCATAGGGCGGTTAAGGTCGGTAGGCAAACAAGCGCTAGCCCCGGTGAAGAAAACTCTTCCAACCGCCCAGTGAGCTGGGTACTCCGATGCACACCTCCAGAGCCTATTGCTTTGTCCGAGTTGGCATGGTGGCGCAATGGCATGGTTGACGCCATCCTACGCATTGCTGTTCTTGGTGAAGGAATTCTTACTGTGCCGTCAGCCACTGCGGAGGTGAAGCTGCGCATGACTGCCAGCGCAAGCAAAGTGCTGAAAGCTCGATGCTCTGCCAGAAGATCTGAAGCGCACTACCACTCTGTTCATACGCAAGCAGAAACCTGGTCCATGGCGTTTGGTGAACAACTCATCTCCTGATTGCCGCACAAGCACAGGACGCTCAACTACTTTGTCATCGTGAACACTGGTGGCACGACGGAGGATTGCACAACGAGAAGTGGATGACGAGAATAGAAGTGGAAGTTTGCAGAAACTTTGTGAACAGCCAACGGACAGCTAGCTTATCCTTCTCTACGCTGCCGATCTTGTTCCTTGAAAGTGGTCGAGGCGGCTGCGACTTATTCAACACGCAAGTGCTCCCCACCCCCCTGGAACACATGGATTGATTGCCAGCCCAATCGCTGGAAATGCCGGGAAATTGCTTGCCTCTGCAGGCATTGCCAAAGAGTGATTCCAATCACTCTTCCTTCTCATCCTCATTGTCATACCTGCCCAACCGTCCAAGCGGGCTCACCATGAAAACATCCTCCCATCTGCCGCTAGCAGCCTTCCCGTCCCAGTCGCCACCACTGTACAGAGGCAGACGCAATTTTCCCGTGCAGTGCTCGTCGATGAAGCGGCAGACTTTCTGCATATCGCCCACAGTGAAGTCGTCCATGAACCACAGCATTGTGCGGGGGACGTCTGCAGGGCTCAGGCGCTCAGCGTCGAGAGATGCTGCGGGCTCAATAGAGGTTTCTCGCGTATTCTTCCGCCGGGGCAGAGATTGTGATGGTGCAGGAGCTGCGCCGGCATTCTTGCTATCATCGGTCGGTATCTTGGATTGCTTCCGGATCGAAACAGTTGCTCTCGGGGTTGATAGCGACTGAGGATCGTCATGGGGGATTTTCGATTGTCTTCGCTTGGATGCCGACGTCGAGGATCTGGGCAGGGGAGCTTTTGTGGTTGGTGTTGATTCATGTCTGGATGCTATGCTTCGAGTCAGCCCAGGATTGATCAACCATCGTCGGTTGGGAACAGGAAGGACTTACAGCGTCGTCGTTTCTCGCTGGGCATTTCAGACGGCTCGACCAGACTGTCCCTCTTCCTCTTCACTGAGGATCTTGCGGCGGCAGGAGTTGTGACTTGAGGCTTGGTCTCACTTGATTGACCCTTTTCCTCGCCATTTGCATCCCCTCGCGCCATGGGTCCAAGTAGCGCAGCGTTTACACTCTCATCATTTACGTACCCGCAGTAGTCTGTTAACACGTCCGGCGCATCGGCGCGCATTTTCGCGACTGGCTCCCAAGAAAGATCCTCTCCCTCACTCGTATATCCAAGCCATTGCACGAGTACTTGCCATTGGCCCCGAACACGACGATGGCGTAGCAGACGGAAGGGATGGTAAAGCTCTCCGATTCCTAGAACGTCTTGGCGCGTCTTGCCCGGAAAGTTGGCCCAGTAGTCGCATAGCAGAGTCGGTCGATGCTCCTGGACATCCCATTCGGAAACATCTAGGCGGGAGCCTTTGGCGAGAACGGTAAGGGTCACGAGCGCGGTATCGGGATCAAGGGTATGCGCTACGATTTTGCTGATCGCGTCATAGGGAATGTCTGCCAGAGGGTTTGGGCGTCAATGAGGGCGCAATAGGATGGGATTGAGAACGCATGGGGAGATATGAGAGAGCTAGGCAGAGAGGCTTTAGCAGTTGGAAATTCTTCTTACCTTGCTTCGCAAGCTTCGACGAGGGTCTACCTCGAGGCATGACTACGGGCGGAGAAGAATTTGTATTCTAGTATTGAGGGCAGACGCAAGCAACGAACGGAGTCGTGATCGGAGAGCAAGCAGGATGCTGCGGGAAAGTTGCGCTGTCAATGAGTTGATCGCGTGTGGGACGCGTTCGCGTCTGGCAAGGTAAAGTAAGGTAGTACTGCGTCAATATTTTTTCTGGGTCCGGGGGCCCGGCTCCGATGCGGACCCCTCTTGCTGGCACCCGATCGCTGCGGCCGCTCTGCGAATTTCCACTCCCAGTCCGCGGTGATGGACAGGCACTCGTTCTTAGAATGAAGTTCTCCATGGGGTACAGGTCATTAGCAGGGTTCTCTTAGTGCATGGGTCAGAATTGGTTTGGTACGGCATGGGTCTGGGGTTGTTGCTCGCAATGGTACCGGCGTGACGGTGTGGTCAAGGGCCGAACCCCGCAGCACGGCATCAGCCCCGGGGAAGAACAATCTCGACTAGAGGCATCGTTGCATGCAATTGAAATTGAGATGATCCGCAGAGCCAGGCAAGCTTGAGTTACCTCGTCAAGAAACTCACTCTGAAGCCTCAGGCCAGCCTAGCTTTCGTAGGTGAACTGCAACTGACTTGTCAATGTTCATGTATGCATATCTATGTAATAATATCTATACTCTACGCGAGGACGGACATCCGTGGTTTATGCTGATGTGTTTGCACTCGCCGCGCCGACTGTGTCTATGATGCTCGCTCCGTCCGTTTATCATCTATCTATGTAGTCTCTATGGTCTATGGGAGGAGAATGTCATGTGTCTCGTCTGATCGCCTCAGGCCCATCTATTTCATCGTCTATTCGTAGGCCCATCCAATTCGGATAAGCTTGTAGCCACTCTCATCCCCTCGTCCCACTCCGCTCCGTTTCAGCAGTTCTTCTGATTGCAGGATGGCAAGCCTCTTGCCGTCTGACCGCTTGGGGCTGTCGCTAGCCGTGAAGGCAGACTCAACGCTATCGCTGACGCCGTTGAAGCGGCCGTTGCGCCGCACTGTGACGAGGAGCCAGAACACGCCAGAATCTGCGAGAAGGCAGGTCGCACAGTCACGCAGCCAGAGAGCGTGCTCCGGCGCGTAGATGACGTCGGTCGCGATGATGATGTCGGCAGGGACATGGAGCGGTGCATCCAGGACAGGTGCTGCCCAGTCGAGAGTGGCGGTCTGCACGTGGGCGGGCTTGGCTGTCGCGAAGTTGAGGGCAACATTGGCACGCAAGTTCTCAAGCACAGCTGGGTGGTAATCAGTTGCCACGATGGTCGGACTAGATGCTCCCAAGTGAGGCAGAATTTTGCCGAGCATGAGACTCACAAGCCCCGTGCCGGCGCCGAGTTCAATGATGCGTGGGGAGATACCCAGTCGAGGTTGGGAAAGACCAAAGCGCTCTGGCGAGGCACACATGATGTCCGACAGGACAATGGAGGCGCCCCAACTCTGGAGACCGACATCGTCCGGGTCAGCCGAGTTTGTACCCGCCAACCTGTCGTTGAGTCGGATGGTGACTGGAACATTTGCTGATGGCGGTTTGGGGAGCGAGAGTTGGAATGCGAAATCGCGTGCGTAATCCTGATCCTTCTCGGCCGAGGCATCATCGTCCGGTGGGGCGGCGAAGAAAGATTCGAGGACGCAAGAAGCCTGGTCCAGTGCGTTTTGACAAGCGTCCTGGGATTCGAAGCAAGAAAGAGTCTCGGCTCTGGCGATGAAGCCAGTCAACCAGCGCTCGGCGCAATTACGCTCAAAGACGTCGACCTTGAGAGCGGCTATGTGGTGGTCGAGGCCGTTGATCTCTTCATGATCATCGTCTGTCTCCGACACGTAGCCAGAGTCGGCGAGAGATGAATCATGATGAGCGCACTTTTGTGTCTCGGGGGTAAGCTGAAAGGCGACGGACACGGCCAAAGGGCAGTAGATGACGGACAGGTTCTGTAGGGCGACGGCGATATCGGCTTCGGTAAGCTGGTTCAAAGTGCGCAAAGGCGGAAGACTGCTCGAGGGTGGCAGCGGATGCGCAGCGGGGCTCATGGGACGCGACTCGCCTCACTACGCGGAGGCTGCGAGCAAGTGTTGTACTACTCGACAATACTTCATGGATGGTGAGAAGCACAGTGGGGTGCGGGTTCGAAGAGAAGCATCAAATCGCGAGTGAGTTTGTATCTCTCATGATTTGAGATGAAGCAACCTAGGGTAGGTCTTAGCTTAATGCAAAGGGGTACGGAGTAACGACCACGGGGTTCCGAGTCCCTTATCTTAGCGTGTCTGACACGAGCATGGCAGACCCGCATTTGCCTAAATGAGGGCATCGTGAAAATTTTTGTTTTGTTTTAGTAGGTAGCCCTATCCTTGGACTGTTGGACCTTGCCACCTTGGGAGTCGGGACCTGGGCAGCTGGAGAAGAACTTAGCGGTATCCTCAGGTTAGATCGGTAGGTAGGTGGGTCGGGCCCTTCTGTTCCGGCGATTCCCGTAAAGGAATAATTCACGGCTGCTTCCGTAATCAAAGAGAATCTAAATTATACCCCAGATCAGCCCGCCCCATATGCACTGAATGCCTTGATAAGAGAATTACTCCTGTGATAAGAGTGCTGTCGTATAGTGAAGGTGTTTGGTGTTTTCGATGCCGCCCTTCCAGACCTGCCAAGCAACGGCCCATTGCCCTGCGGGGGAAAACCATGAAAGGCGGCAATTTCCATTTTCTCCTCACAAGTCTCTTTGCACGTGACGAGTCAGGACCCCAGCCCCCCCCCCCCACCTTTCTCAAGTACCTTGGTATGTATTCGCACCCCCCAGAGGCTCAGTCCAAGTCCACGCATCCACCAACCAGCACCTCATTATCCAATTCCAGACTGATTGACTGGCCGTCAATCGTGACCCAACCTAACGACGTTATCATGCGGCTTGGCAGGCTCTGGCAGGGGCCGGAAGGGACCGAGCCTAGCTGCCGAGGCACGGAGTACATAGACAGCGCCCGATCACAGCTCCGTCCATACCGTCGGTTTTTCTATCATAAGACCGTCCTGTCTGCCCATAGATTTAGCCTGGACTGCCATCTTCTCCAAGCTTCACAGTGCTAGACTCCGATAGATTGAATTCATAGTCTCTCTATTAGGGATACCAACCTGGATGGAACGCCCAAGTCTAGAGTATCAGGGCTACTCTTATTGACACGCAGAAAGGGGTTCTTATACAAGGTCCTGACATTGCAGGGTTGCTCCCGCGGTTTTCCAGATCCCTACGTTCCGCATTCTACTTCACTGAAGCAATCATTTGCAAGGATATTATGGATACACGACCCTCCCACTTTCAAAGCTTAACATGTTTACTTCGTCTGCCTAATTACCAGCATCGCAATGCCGGCTTCCTGATGTGAATTACTCTGCACATCTCAGCGATTTGAGTCGCGTTCTTGTCGGACGCGCCCATCACGCGAAATCGCGAACTACAATCTTAGAGCGACATATTCAACTCCATCTTTATTCCTAGTTTCTAAGCGTCGTCAATCGCAATCGGGACCTGACAGTCAACCTCGGACCACAGTGCATTCGTTCCTTACCTTACCCTGATATGTCTTTCATCAAACGCGAAAGGCATGTGCCGACCAGGATCGAGACGGACGTCCTGCTTACGTCCGAAACGCCCGTCCCACTTCCTGAAGTTCCCCCTCGTCAAAAATGGCCTCCCATCCTCTTGCCACAGTCCCAAACGCCAATTACGCCGAACACAGTTTCTCCAGACTCCGCCAGCATAGCTCAACTTGAGTCTTGCTTGGAAGAAGTGGCTTACGGGGCATGGCTCAAATTGGCTGTTGGAAGTTCCTCTTCGAACGGATATTGCTACAGTAGAGCAAAAAGGACGCTGAATGGATGCATTCTCTCTCAGAAGAAACCTAGGTATTTGGTTGGCGAGTCGAGCGCTAAGAATCTTGCAAGGAGAGCGTGCTGCGCTCCTGTGAGTACACGCTCCTTCGTCTTATATTCATTCGTATTAGAAAGCTACTTCAGAACCAGCTTACTTTTGTCGGGGGAAGAAGAGACAGGATAGCTAGGAAGGATAAGAATGGCTGGAAAGCCTGGAACGCCTGGAAAGCCTGGGAAGGCTGGAAAGGAAAGGATGTTTTCAAGGTCATCTCCAAGTCTATAGCAGACTCAGCTCCCGCGTGTGCATGTGAACCCAAATGTTTAGAATATATAGAGGAGGGAATTGTTACAGTAGTCGACTAATTTCAGCCTGAGTGTTTCCGCTATGTCATCGCGCCACCGTAACTATGGTTTTTTTGTTCTAGGTGTTTAACGCCGATGCCACCCGCATCGTTACTCTGTACTAGCGCCCAGGGCAATCGTATTTTTGTAATAAAGCAGGGTGGTGGTGTGATGGGGAAAACCTAGAGAGCAGGTATGAATTGAATCCCGCGGAGTAGGAAGGCAAAGACTGGACAGGCATACAAACCATATGCATTGTCGGCTGAACGTTGACATCTACCATCAGTAAAAGGAATCCGATGTGATGAAGCTACTGGAGCAATAGAAGCTTGGACAATACCTTTAGTTACTCGAGACATAGGTACTGTTAGATCTTGCACTCTTGCTGGCTGTCATAAGAAGTGTTACACTCCCCTGTCCAAGCGGCGGACGGGCTGCATGACTTTGCGGTCAGTATTCGTTTCAGCCCCCTACGAACAGTATTAGTCGAGGAAGCATCGACAACTTGTTAAGTGCGACCTGACTTGCCAGTGCCATGATGCATACCACGATAGTCAATAGTAGCTCCTCTTATAAGTGAAATCCCGCTGCTCTTCAAGGTTCCAGTTGAGAGAGCCTCGAGAGCAGATGTTGAGTCAATCTCTACCCTAGGTTCAATAGTGTTGACACTTCAGCTATGTTTCTATTGGCGAAATCATTAAAGACAAGTTGACTTTGAACATCGCCAGGATAAAGTCATGGCGGACGTCAGTCTTGCCAACCCATTACGAGGTCTTTTTTTGTAACGGACGAGATAAAGGGATAATTACAAAGGACTACGACGTACTGGCGAGCGGTTGTGCCATTATCAGGCATCTTGACCACGAAATTTCTCACTTATTTATGCCCTAACGTCAACTCTAGCCCAATTCGCATACGTCTGTTACGTGACTCAGATGGCACAGAGCTACGACAGCCTCGGAAATCTTTGTTTTAGTTTACTGAAATTCCTCGTTATTACAAAGACATCGTATATCGAAATTACGTCTTGTATTATAGGTGCCAAGGCAATCTCCAAGTCATAGTTCAACAACATACCAAGGCAAACGGACGTGCAGTGGTAAAATGCATGCAGGCAAGGCTTGAGGGAAGCATCAAGTATCCTGAGTTCACTTGATGGTTTGCGTGAGCCATCTATGTAGACCCATCAAATAACACCAGGGGAAACCTAGGAAGATACGATAACGAAATAAGATACAGCAGCCTTAGGAAGGATACCTCGAACTTTATGAATTGATGTGGACCGTCACAGCCACCCAAACATTCAATGTGACATATGATTGGAAGCTTGGTAAAGCAGGAAGCATCAGTCTGCAGCTCTGACCATGTTGGTCGTCCGATGAAAGGACATCGAAGTTATGTCGAGGGCCAAACAAAGCTAACATCTATGCCAATTTGCGGGGACATGGAATACAGTCTAAATGCAAAACCCAGAGAACATAACAGCCGAAAGACTTGGCACAGTGATAGGCTGAAATTGACGGACGAGCGTGAATGCGACCCAGGCACGTGCTCATTAGGCGAAATCCAATGGGCATCACTTTTTGGGTTTTGGGTTTAAAAGACGAAGCTCTAGCTCAGATGATCACGCATTTGCTTTGACGAGGCGCGACATCAAACCAGTTTTGTTTGGTTTGAAGGCCGAGCGCCCCCAGAAAATGTTAATAACACAAGCTTGGCCTGCCTGGGTTTTCAAATGCGAGTCTAGAGCAGGTACGCCAGAGGTAAGTTCAGGGATCAAATTTCATCTGAACTTCAACTACAAAAGCCAACAAATACCATTCGAGCATGTAAAAGCACCCGGCGTTGTATGTCCTGTTAGATGTGTTTGACATGCCCTGCTACAGAGAGCGAAAGTGGTTCTATACGTGTGTGAAAGATGTTGCGTCGTTGGGAACGCAGCACAGGCTTTCAAGGTTCTTTATGAGCGTACCATGAAGAATAAGTGATATGCTAGCAGGGAACCTAGCTCCTTCAAGAGATCACTTGTCCATCATTAGTCGCATGCGTTGACAAGGATGCCGTGGCGATCCGCAGCCCTAGGCATACTTTAGTGGTATACTTTCATGGTAAAGGTTCATGGAACAAGGAAACCTGGTTGATACAACAGCCTTTGGACTCAGGCGGGCTCTATGGGCCAGAATAGGAAAGCAGGGCTGATAGATATGCCGCCGTCGTTTAGTATTTAAACCCCGTTTCTCACTGAGGCTGCTTCCGAGGTGTTTATATCTCTTACACAAGTGCTATATTAAACTATACGATCACTGCAATCACGATGGGCTTCATGAAATCAAATCTGGCGTGCCTAGGGGCACTTGCCGCAATGATAATCGCTGCCCCTACGGACGACACTTCAACCCCAGCTATCTTTGCTCGCGCTGAGGCTACGGTCTTTATGTGTGACGACACCCGTTTCCGAGGCCGCTGCCGAACCGACGTCATTCAGACAGGATCCTGCTGTGAGTTCCTCTCTTAGATTGAGCGCTTATCTCTATGTTTGATCAGTCGCTGCTAGCAATTTACTTACAGAAGAGCTATATATAGACAATGTTCCGGAGAGTTTCGTTGACCGCATCAGCTCTATTCGTAATAATGATAGGAATAGAGATACGTGCACTTGGTATCGGTAAGTGTGAACCTTGAGAAAAGGATAATTACTTGGAACTATCTTGACTAAGAAAGGCATTTATTATCTATAGGGAGCGGCAATGTCGAGGCGAGTCGTATCGTAACCAGGATGATGATAATTTAGCTGATGGTAATGGCCGGTTTAATGATGCAATCAGGAGTTATGAGTGTAAAAGAAAGTAAATATTACGAAATAGTATTAAAAACATGGATTGTTTTATCTAATAACGATGAATAATTATCTTTGCCTCTATTTAAAAAAAGAGAAATGATAAATATTTATCAAATACTTTATTATAATTAAAGTTATTTTTTTTATTTCTTTTTATATTTATAGTTATCTACAATATATAAATCATAAAACAAACTAAGAAATGAAATATATTAAAAGAATTAATATTAAAAGAATGATCACTATTTAAATTACTTATATAAATTAAGTATAAATACGCTTATAAAATTTCGTACGAGTTCTATTTAATTCAATCATTTTTTAAATCAAAAGATATTTTGTTATATAATAATATCATGAATTTCTTTCAGGTTTATACATATTGAAAAGACTTCTAGCTATTAAACTAATTGTTTAAGAGCGATTATAACTAACGTTATTGCTCTTTTTTAATATTAACTTGCCCGCTTAGTATTTTATTATTTATAGCTTTTAAGATTATATATTATAAACGACTTTTGTTTTTAAAGAATATTTATATAGTGGTTTTATTCTAGCTCTATAGACGCAAAAGATCGACTTTAACGGAATTATACTTTTAAAAAAATTATGTAATACGGTATACTTTTTAACTATATAATATATATAACCCTTTAAAGTCTAGCCCGCCTTATTGGGGGCCATCTTTACTTTTACGGGCAAGTTAGTTTATTAAAATAAATATTGTATATTATTACTTAATAAATTTAAAACTAATTATAGCCGGTTATAGTTATTAATATAGTGGTTATTTCCGGCTTTATAAGTATAAATAATTGACTTTAATAGGATTAGGCTTTTAAAGGAAATTATATAATATAGTATACTTTTTAGCTATATAATACGTATAATATACCCTAAGTAAGCACTTAATTTAATATAGTAATTTCGATATAAAAACCGCTATATAATTCGGGATAAATAAATTACCGCTATTTATTAATAATAGACTAAGCGATATATTTATATAGTAGCGATAATTAAAAAGGTTGATTATAGAGGTCGGCTATAAAGGTTAGAAATAGCCCTTATATTACGGCTAGTTAGTTATAATAAATATATTAATAAAAGTTAAGGCTACGAAGGCTAAGTAAATAGTATCGCAGTCGTTAATAGCTTCCCTAAAGCTATATTTATAAGTTATAAAATAAATAAGGCTTTAGTAATTAATCGTAGTTTCGTTAAAAGGAGTTCTTAGTAAAGATAGCTAAAAGCAATTATAAAATCTAATACTAAGTTAATTATTAAAGAAGTTATAAAAAGTCTATCTTTAAGCCCGGCTTAAGTCTATACTATATATAAGTCTCGTTCCTAAATATATCCTTTATTTTATATATATTTTATTTATTAATAATTACTAAGTAGATCCTAATAAGCGCTTATTTAGAATAATTATTATAATTACTTTATTACCTAATTACCTTCTTATTTATATATAATTTATTCCATAGTTCTTCCGTTTTTTTAAATAATATATCTACTCTGTTTAACGTATATATAGTATACTGTAGCCGCTGCGGGCCTGCGGGGCGGGCCCTAGTCTTAGTTATATACGTTGGGTCGTAATACTTTAACTATAAAAGTTCTAAACTTTAATAGCAATATAGAGGTTTTTTTAAAAAAAAAGGGCTAAAAGGGCCTATGTTTAGTAAAGTTTATAAAGATTTCTTTTATTTTTATCACTTCTTAAATTATTTATAATTTTCTCTCTATTTAAACTAAATATATTACTAGATATTATTAAACGAACCTATTAATATATAAACTATTAACTAAATAACTAGTTAAATAACTAGTTAGAACTAATTAAAAGTCCGGTTAGTTAAATCATATTAATGAAAACTTATTTATTTAATATATATTTAATAATTAGTAGGCTAATAATACTTTTCAATAAATCTACTCCCCTCGGACTTAGCCTCTTTTTTAACTAGCTCGATACCGTAGCTATTATAAATAACGTAAATACGCCTAAATAATAATAAAATAGAGAAAATAGTTAAATCGGTTAATTCTAGTTAGTTATTAGGTTTAAAATATAATATACCTAGTTTTCTTTAATACGAAATATATAGTATAGCCCCGGTAAATTACTCTATATATACTTATATAAAACTAATAAATCTCTAAATAAGCGGGTTCTAGGTTAACGTTTTAAATATTACTTTTTTTATATAGTAGTTTTTTTCTAGCTTTATAAGCACAAAAGATCGACTTTAATAAAATTAGGCTTTTAAAAGAAATTATACAATATAGTACACTTTTTAATTATATAATATACGTAATATACCCTAAGTACGCACTTAACTTAATATAATAATTTCGATACAAAAACCGCTATATAATTCGGGATAAGTAAGCTGCCCTCTTTACTTATATAGTAGCAGTAGCTAAAAAAGTTAATTATATAGGTCGGCTATAAAAGTTAAAAGCGGCTTAAAAAGTTATTTACCCTTAACCATAAAGATTCTAAACTTTAATAATAACGTAAAGGCTTTTAAAAAAAGGGCTAAAAGGGCTAATATCTAGCTACTCGTACTAGAGCTCGTAAAAATTCTTTTTATCCTTATTACTTTCTATATTACCTATAAGCTCGATTTAAACTAAATAAACTACTAAACAAATCTATTAATATATAAACTACTAGTTTACTAACGATGCCCCTTAATAAGTCTCCCCCTCTAAAACTTAATAAATTTTTAGGCCCCCTCGACGCCCTAGTTATTATAACTAACGTAAATATATTAAAAAAATAGCGTAGTACCCTTTAATAATATAAAATCTAACTAAATAATAATATAAACGCCGTAAATAGCCAGGCCGGTATAAATATTAAAATTTAATATATTAACGCTAGTTTAAAAATTATACTTTATAGAGCTAATAACCTCTTAAATACGAGCTATATTATAAATATAAAGGATTATATAAAGGGTCCCCTTACTTTTTACAAAAAAAAGTATATTATATTAAACCTAGCTACTTATACAGGCTAGTACTAAAAGGTTTTATATACATTAGAATAAATAAAGCTCGCTCTTTAAATAACTAAAAATAGCGGAAAGTTAAGAGTTTTAGTTAGTAATTAAGTTTAAAACGCAATATACCTAGTTTTCTTTAATATATAATATATAGTACGGCCCTAGTAAATTACTCCGTCAGGGGGATTACTTTTTTTATATATTATAAGTTTTTATATTTATTTATATACTAGCTTTTCTATTTATTTAATTATATACGCGCTTATATAATATTAATAAATTTCTAAATAAGTAGGTCCTAGATTAACCCTTTATATATTAGTTTTTTTATTATATAATTACCTTATACCTACGTCCGGGTAATAGTACTTAAGCTAACCGGTTCGGCCCTATTTAATAAACTAATTATAATAAGTTATTATATTACTAATTTAGTTACGTAATTACTTACGTAATTCTAATATATAATATAGAATTTATAATGCGCATATACGTATATAATAGATGAACGTTATATTTAGCTATATATAGCCGCCCCTATTAAAGGGTTACGGGGTACGTACTCCGGTTACGTAGTTACTAATTATATAAGCCGAAAAACGTCGACTACGGGCGGATTTAAACTACCTTCTTTAGAAACGTATTAAAAATTAGCCGAGACGTTTAAACTCCCTAGACTTATATTACTAAGCTACGTAGCTATTACTTTTTTTATATTATATAATTATTTTATATATACGTCTAGGTAATAGCGCTTTTAAACTAAAGCGGTTTAGCTATATTTAATAAACTAATTATAATAATTAATTATATTATTAATTTAATTATATAGGTATTAGTTATATAACCGCGCGTTACGTAGATTTAGTACATGACATAAAGTTTATAATTACCTTAATAAAATAATCTACCGGGGCCGTACTATATATTATATATTAAAAAAAAAAACTAAGTATATTATACTCTAAACCTAATTATTAATTAAAATTAACCGACTCGACTATTTTTTCTTTTTTATTGATAACTCCCGACTTTCCGCTATTTCTAGCTATTTAAAAAGTAAGCTTTATTTATTTTAATATATATAAAACCTCTTAATACTAGCTTATATAAATAACTAGGTTTAGTATTATTTCTTTTTTTATATAAATATTATTTTTATTTAGGGGGGTTCGTAAGAGCTATTTTAAGTACCGGTTTATTATTTTTTCATTCTATATATTTCTAGCCCGCCTATTTTAGTTATTATAACTAAGCTAGTATCGATATACTAAATCTTAATATTAATACTAGCCCGGCCGTTTATAACGTTTATACCGTTACTTAGCTATATTCTATAATTCTATATTATTAAAAAGTACTTTATTACTTTTTAAATATATTTACGTTAATTATAATAACTATAGCGTCGAGCTAGTTAAAAATAGGGCTTAGTTTAAAAGGGGTAGACTTATCGAGAAGCATCGTTAGCCCGCTAATTACTAACTATATACTAAATATAAACTAGTAGTTTATATATTAATAGGTTTATTTAGTAGGTTCGTTTAATAGGTTTATTTAGTAGTTTATTTAGTTTAAATAGAGAGAAGTTTATAAATAATATAGGAAGTAATAAAGATAAAATAAATTTTTACGAGCTCTAAGTAACTAGATATTAACCCTTTTAGCCCTTTTTTAAAAACCCTCTACGTCTTTATTAAAGTTTAGAACCTTTATAATTAAAAAAGGCCGTTTTTAACTTTTATAGCCGACTTTTATAATTAACTTTTTTTAGCCGCTACCGCTATATAAAATAGCTTATTTATCCTAAATTACTATATCAAGTTAAGCGCGTACTTAGGGTATATTACGTATATTATATAATGAAAAGGTATATTATAATATATAATTTCTTTATGACGTGGCTTAGTAATATAAGTCTAGGGAGTCTAAACGTTTAAGTTAATTTTTAGCGCAATTTTAAAAGAAAGCGGTTTAAATCCGCCCGTAAT